TATGTGTTATCTATTAATCCTTGACAAGAACAGTCTTAGTTTCAGTGTTCAAAAATAATTTTCTTGACTTCTTTTATTTATTGAAATTTTGTTTCTTTATTTTTTATTATTTATTTTTTGTTATTTTGTTTTGTTTGAGAAAAATAAATTAGAACCATTTTATTGAAATAATTCTTAAAATATTTTGGTATGTTGGCAACAATAAAAGAATTTTTTCTTATCAAAAATTTTTTAGGCATCGTTTTTTGGAATACCTTAGAATCTTACCTTCAGAGGCTCGTATTTATTTTACATAAAAAATATTTCATGTATGCAATGCAAATTACAATATATTGATGCATATATTTTATTTTTTCTTTAAAACATTTTATTTTTTAATAAAATTATTATTATTTATAGAAAAGAAGAGAAATTTCTATCATATTAAAATTTTTTTATAACTACTCCAAATACGTTGGTAGTATTAAAAAAAAACTTTTTACCTAAAGATTTCATAGATATCACTACTTGGAGTATCTTAGAATCGCATTATTAGACAAAAATTTCCTTTCTTACACTTTTTCATTATTTTTATATTATTTTTGGTTATTTTTCCTATTATTTTTTCAAATTTAAAATTTATCAAACATTTAGAAACCATTATTATTATTATTATTATTATTATTATTATTATTAGTATTATTATTATTATTATCTTTTAGTTATTTATTATATTACTTTACAAGGTTTATTTTAAAATTTTAATAAAACTTAAAATTATAAAAAATGTAAACTTTATTTTTCATTATTTATTTTTGTTTATTTATTATTGTTATTATAAAAAAGCAATAAATATTTATTCTAGAAAATTAAAAATTCTAAACATGCATAAATAAAAATAATAAAAGCTTAAAATGGTTAAAGTAAAAAAATTAAATAAAAAAATTTAAAAAAGCCTGAACCTGACCGATCAACGTTGGTTCAGTTGGACTAGTTAGGGGTGATTCGGTTCGGGTAAACGGTTTAGCAGAACTGGTTAAGGCTTGGGGCAAAGGCAAGTCACCAAGTTATTACACAAACCTAAATCAGGTCGCGGGTTGGCGTGCAGAACCTTGATCTCCCAAACGACATTGTTTTTAGACCCCTTTCTGCCTATATATAAATTTCCTTTTTTTAGCTCATTTCCCTCTTCTATTTTTTTAAAAAAAGTTTTTTTCTTTTAACCAACCCTGACCAATATACCCAGTAACCTACAGTGTGCGTAGTTGATCAAGGGTCAATTGGGTGGTCCAAATAGTAAGATTTGCATATAAATTTTTAATTTTAATATTGTTTTAAAAAGTCCCTTTGATTTTTTCTTATGTATTTAAATAAATATCATTATTAAATAAAAATTAATCTGTAATATACAATATATTTATCAGAGATGTTAAATTTATCTTTTATTTAATTTTAATTTATTGTTAATGATTTATCTGATTTATTTTCATTATATTTTTGGTTTTTTTTTATTTGAGATTGGATTTTCAATCAAAGGTTATGTTAGATTAATGATTGAAATCCTGATCCTAGGAGATTGATCTATTTGATTTATAAAAAGGATCCTTAGGAACAGAAGGAACACACAGAAAACAGAGAGAAAAACAGCTACTGATTGAGAGAAAAAGGCATACAGAAGAGATTTGAAGGCTAAAAAGGGTTTAGAGGCGTTAGAATAGCTTTAGGAATCGGAAAAAATTTTTTGGAGATTTTTCGACGAAATTTTTTTCTGAAAATTTGTGGAAAATTTTCAGATTTCGATGAATTTTTCAACGAAAATTCTAGGCAAGTTTGAAGTTTTTGGCCAATTTCTCAGTTTTTGACAACATTTTCAGAAATTGATCAGCTTTTCGATGAACTTTCGACGAAAAACTTAGATTTCAACGAAAAATTTCAGAATTCAGTGAATATTCAACTGGAGTTCTTCGGGTGTTTTAAAGAGAAGGGAGAGGAAAGAAAGGAAGAAAAAGAGGGAGGAGGCTCGGTCTGCTGAAAAAATGAAGGAATCAACCTTATATACCCTTCCAAAATGACGTCGTTTTTGCGTTAAATAACCTAGAGATTTCGCGCATTTTGTTAAGATCCGACCCGACTCGAGCGTCGACCCGCTTTTCGATCTGCACGTGATCTGCCTCCCCGAGCCGTTAGCCGAGCCGAGTCGACATTTCGAGCCGTGTTCTCCGAGCCATTTTTCTTCCTTAAGCCAGCCGCTCCAGGTTTTTTTTTTTCTTTTTTTTTTCTCTTTTTATATATTTTATATATTTATTTATTTTTAGGTTTATTTAATATTCTTTTATTTTTATCTTTATTTTATTTTTATTTTTGTTTTACTTTTTTTTATTTTTCCTTATTTTTTTATTTTCTCTTTTATTTTGTTTTATTATTTTATTTTCCTTAAATAAAATCCAAAAAAATATTTTTAGGGAAAAGTTGAAAGTATCATTTTTTCTTAAAAATAAATTTTCTAAAAATATTTTTGGGGAAAAGTTGAAAGTATCAATTTTCCTTAAAAATAAATTTTCTAAAAATATTTTTGAGAAAAAGTTGAAAGTATCAATTTTCCTTAAAAATAAATTTTCTAAAAATGTTTTTGGGAAAAAGTTGAAAGTATCAATTTTTCTCGAAATTAAAGTTTTTTTCAAAAAAGATTTTTGGGGAAAAATTGAAAGCATCAATTTTTCTCGAAATTAAAGTTTCAAAAGAATATTTTTGAGAAAAAATTGAAAGTATCAATTTTTCCTGCGTAAAAACAATCATTCTTTTATTTTTTTTTATTTTTTTAATGTTAAATAATCCAACGATGAGCCTATGCAAGTGAAACAGTAGTTTTCTTGCATACTCCTGAGGTGAGAGAATTTTTTCAATTTTTTGCTAAAGTATTAGAGTCAATTGAGAATAATTTTTAATAATTAATTGCTTGGTAAAATTTTAAGGCTCATTGGATAACACAAATTTAAGCTGGTACCATCTTTTGATGGGTGTTGTGAGAGTGCTATAACCTTCCTCACACGTAACCGAACTCCCGAATCCTGTTCTGGTTAGTAGACCTGAACCTATTCTTTTAAGGACCCTTAAATTTAGGTGTTCCCTAAAAAGACAGATTCCTTAGGTGGCCAATCGCACCTAGATAAAAAAGATTGGTGGCAACTTCCTTCAAGTCAATGTCTAGCGATAGATTCCGGGATCTAGACGTTATGACATGTGTTGTCAGTTGCCGGCTGTTAGTGATTTGCATAAAAAATTTAAAAAAATCCTAAAAAGCTCCATTTGATCTATAGAAAGATCAATATAGATTGAGCCTCAAACTTTTAGTAAAAAATAACCCATTTTTTTTTTCGGGGTTTGATGGAGTTGGGTCCTCATCCTATGGGACTATTTTTTTATTTTGTGTTTGGTTTTCTTTTTTTTTTCTTTAATTTTCTGTGTAGACGAAAAGGTTTTTTGGTTTAACAAAAGCCTTGTGTCCATTTTTTTTCTTTTTTTAGGTAGGATTTCTAGTAATTTTTTGGTTAGTTTTTTGGCAAAATTTCTCTCTTTTTTTTGGGTTTTTTCTTACTAGGCTTTTAGGCAGGGACTTACTCATCTTTTTTGTTTGGCGTTTATGGAGCTCTTATTTATAAAGCTTCGGCTACAACTCTTGTTGCCAAGGTGATGGTGGCAATTGAGGGCAAATGATGGGTTGGTGCACTAGCAGGTCGTGCAGGTTATGGTGTCTCAAGGTTCAAGGCTCGTGACTTACAGGGGAGTGGGTGGTAATGGTGTCATGCACAGCATTTATTGTCACCGACCCCTTTTGTTTCTTTGTTTATTTTTTTATTAATTATTTTTTTTGTTTGTGTTTTTTTCTTATCTTTTCTTGTTTTGTTTTGTTTTTTTTTTTGTTTAATAGTTGATTAATATCTTATTTATTATTAAATTCTAAAACTAAATAAATAATAAAATAAAAACAAAAGTAAAAAATGAAAATGAAATAAAAACAGTAGGCTCAAACCCAATGAATGAAATTGGATAATTCGAAAAAATTTAATATCTACATTGCCTATTAAAACAATACTTAAATAAGTCATTGAATTTTATAAAAAAAATAAAAATGAACATTCAATATTTTTATTGCATGAAATTAAATTATGAACTTTATTTTATTATAATTATATCATTTAAATTTGAAAAATAAAAAAATGTTAATCAATTGTCAAATTTGCTAAAATATTATTATTTCAAATATTTGTTGTTCAGTTAATCTAAATAAATTTAAGTAACTATTTTAAAATTTTAAGTTTTGGTCACCATTGTTCGTGAAATTATTAATATTTAAATGTCATATTCAACAAAACTTTATAACTATTGAATTATAAATGATTTGTGAAATTTAATATAAATAAATTATTTTTATATTATTTTGTTATCTATATTTCCTTTAATATTTTACTAAATGAAATTAAAAGTAAATTTTGATTTTATGAAATATGAAATACTTAATTGAATTTATTTAGATGAATTGAATGGCAAAAATGTGAAATAATATTTTTTAATAATTTTTACAAGTGAATAATATTTTTTGATTTTTTAAATTTAAATAGTATGATTACAATAAAATAAAAATTTATCATTAATTTTATGTAATAAAATATCAAATATTTATTTATACTTTTTTATAAAATTTAAAGATTTATTTATTAGTGATTAAATTATAAAATTTTAGAATTAAATGATTAGAATAAATTTTTTTTAAAAATTAAATGATTAAAATTTATTTATTTTTTTAAATTTTATAATATTATATCAATAATGTCGCTTGATTTATCAAATGATAAGATAGTATTACGTGAAACTTGTATGATAACATCATATCAATACGTAATTAGCAACAAAAAACAAATTACTCAAATTGAAATGATTTAATTAAAAAAAATTAATAATTAAGTGATATTTTAAAAAATTTCTTAAAGAAAGTTACTATTCATGTATTAAAAAAAAACTGTAAAAGTTGTGAGGTGTGCGTTGGGACTCGGGAGGCTTTATTTTTTGCTTTTTCTTCTTTAAAACGAGCTCTCTCTCAATTCTAATTTCTAAGCTAGGGTTTAAGAGCTCAGCTACTCAAGCCTTTCGACAAAGAGGAAAAAAACAGTCGACTTTTCCACAGCCATGGCGAGCACCAAAGTCCAGAGGATCATGACTCAACCCATCGTATGTTCCTCTTTCATTGTTTCCTTTATTTTTAAAACCTCTCCCATTTTACTGATTTCTTTCTTTTCTTTTTTTTTTTTTTTAATTTTCTTGCACGGTTTTTCTGCGGCAACAGAACCTGATCTTCAGGTTTCTCCAAAGTGTAAGTGACTATTTAATGCTACATTTCCTTCATTGGGTTTTCTGGGCATACTTGGTTTTGCTTGTTTGTTAATGGGTTGTTTTGCCTTTTGTTCTTCTTTTTTTTTTCCATTTGAAATTATCCAGAAAGCTCGCATTCAGATTTGGCTTTTTGAGCAGAAAGATTTGAGGATTGAAGGTCGAATTATTGTAAGTTGTGTATAGTTTTCTTAAGTTTAGGGTGGAAAATTTTCTTTAAATAAGCAATTTTAAAGCTATTTATTGTGGTAAAGATTTTATTCTTTAATTGAATTGTGTTAGAAATTTTAACTGTTGCTGCACATTGTTGCTTACTACAATTGATATTGGGCTACACAATGAGGGGTAGCTCTCTCCCATTCGCAAAGATCTCTCCCTGCTCAACCCAGGTTTCGACCTCGAGACCTCCAATAGAGTCCCTCCAATAGAGTCGTAAGCTTTAACTGCTGGTGTGTCTTATACCTTAGACTAATAAATGTTGAGAACAATGTTATAAATTCTCGTTTCATAGAAATAGAATGTAGATATTTTTGGTTTTGCATGATTCTCACTGCTGTTTTTAAGTGCTTGTGTTTCATGTTATTGTTAAGTAGTTGTGATTTTGCATAAAACATTGTTAGGGTTTGTAGACACCTAATTTTGTTTGGATATGATCTTGTCAATTACGATGCTTTGAAAATTGAGACCCGGATCTCTTTTAAGATTTTTCAAGCTTTACGGAAATTCCATGGTTTTTGAACAAACTGATTCTTAGGTTGATGCAAGAAAAGTAGCAAAAATCAATATGAAAGTCAAAGGTGGATTTAAAAGTTAATTTAGTCAAACTAGTCAAATTTGGTCAAACTGGAGTCAACCTTTGGATTTTGTGATTGATAAGGACAATTGAGACTCTTTAATAATAAAATTATGATTTAGACTTTTAAAAATCTTGTTAGACCTGAAGAAGGCTGAAACTACAAAAATACCTTTTAGGATCATTTTCGTCCATTGGTCTTTTTGGGGTTGGTTTTTCGTGAAAAACTCCAAATCATTGTTAAATATTATTGCATGAATTTTGATGTATTAAAAATCTTGATTGCACTTCAAAAAAGTGAAATTACTAAAATATCCTTTAGGAGTACTTTCGTAATTTGATCTTTTTGGAGTTGGTTGTTTGTGAAAAACTTTAGATTATATTTAAATATTATTTTATGAACTTTGATGTATTAAAAATCTTGATTGCACCTCCAAAGGGGTGAAATTAGCAAAATGAAGGGCATTTTCATAATTTAACTTTTTTGGGTTGTGTTTTTCATAAAAAATTTCATATTATAATTAAATATTATTTTATGAATTTTGTTATTTTAAAATCATGAAAATCAATATTGGATCATAGGATTTAGGAGAAATCATGAAAATTACTTAAAACACTAATAAAAGCAAATTTGTAATTTTACATTGTATAATCTTATATAAAGACAAGAGAATGTGCAGGAAATTATTTGAGCCTTTAGATTTTAAAATACCATAATTTAATGGTCCATGGTATTTTAAAAATTTTGATACTTTAAAATTATGAAAATCAATATTGGATTATATGGATTATGGTATTTTAAAATCTAAGGGCTCAAATAATATCCTGCACATTCTCGTCTTTATATGGAGTTATACAATGTAAAATTACAAATTTACCTTTATTAGTTTTTTAAGTAATTTTCATGATTTTCCCTAAATCCCATGATTCAATATTGATTTTCATGATTTTAAAGTACCAAAATTTATAAAACAAAACTTAATTATGATCTGGAGCTTTTCGTGAAAAACTTCAAATTATGTTTAAATATTATTGCACATTGAAAAGGTGAAATTACTAAAATACTCTTTTGAGGCATTTTCATAATATGGCCTTTTTGGGGTTGGTTTTTTATGAAAAACTCTAGATCATGTTTAAATATTATTATTATAAATTTTGATACATTAAAAATCATGATTGCATCTCAAAAGGGACGGAATTACCAATATAAACAATTGTAACAATTAAAACAATCTTAAGTATTTATCCAAACTATAGCTAAAGTAAAAGGGTGCTATAAAAGAAAGCAAGGCTAAAAGCTGTAGTGTCCTTTTTCCATTCAAGCAAATAAAAACAATAGGAACTAAGACTCTTTAGCTCTATATATTCAAATTACCTATTCGGCAAGTTTAAATTCTTAAAAAGAAAAATGCATGAAGAGTAAAATTCAAAACCAGGTACTAAACTACATAAAAAAAGCTTGTAATTTCTAATTATAAATTTTCGGGTTTGCTCAAAAAAGAAACAAGAAAAGCTTTTTTTTTTTTTTCTGAAGATTATTAAAGGCCTAGACAGTCTTATAAAATAGGAATATTTAGCTTTTGATTGGCTAACTAAATAACTCTAAGGTTGATAGAAAATGAAGGCTTGCTTGCTTCTTGTTCTACAAATAGGGAAATTTGCTTCACAAATCTTTCAAGAATTCATAGAAAACTTTTCTGATGATAAAGATGTGAAAAAATTTGGAGTTACATAAATCATTATCTAATTATCAGACATCACCACCACCAATACCTTAGAGAAAATTGTGAATTTAGTCAAGGGACAAATCATGGAGCCTGAGCATGGAAAGAAGATGGTGGAAGAAGAAAGTGAAATGAAAAGAGAAACAAAGGGAAACATGACAAGCCAAAGCCATTTGACTAACATACCAAATTGGATTGTTTGCAAATTGAAAAATCCAACTCTTTCTGCAACCCTAATGGCTTGATTCAAGTCAGCTTCTTCTTTGCAATCTTGAATTCACCATAACAAATATATAAGATATTCCAAAATTATTCAGTAATTGTTATTTGACATTGTTGTATGTTTAAATTTCACTGAGTTTTTAGCCAAAAAAGTATCACTAATGGCTTTTGTTTGGTTGTTCTTGTTTGTGTTCGTTCATTCTTGTGTCAAGGGTGGATTTTCTCTTTTCAAAGATGGCTTTTTCTTTGATTGCACGTGATTTAAAAATTGAATCTTCAATCCAGTTGGTATTGCTAATGCTTCCTTTAATAGATGGATTTGAAAACTAGCTGTTGCTAATCGTTGTAGAAACTTTTTGTTTCTTACATTATGTTTTAGTTTAGTATGGTTGCTTGCTTGTACTTGATTACATTTTGTTTGTAAGAGATTCTTTTTTTTGTTTCTCATACTTGATTATCATAGGCTATTCTTGAGTAGTTTGCCTTCCCTTGATGGTTGCATATTTAAACATGGACTCAATTATGTTCCAAGTAGGGATTTAAATAGCGGGAGTAGTGGAAAAGTGGTGGCGATTTTGCTGTAGTGCCTCTCTCCGCCATCTTTATTGGAAAAATTTGGATAGAATTTCAATAACATTGATAATGGTGGGTAGCGGCTGTGAAAATCGGCATAATGGTCTGCGACTCCATTTTTTGTCGAAAGCTAGAATATTAAAAGTACAAAAAGTTGGGTATTCAAGAAACTATTGGGCATCCAAGAGACTAAACCAAAAAAAAAAAAAAAATTCTTAATGTGACATCAACATCAATTCAGCCCCAACCAATCCAACGTAATCAACACACAACTATTATAAGATAATTGGCAAGTAATTACCCTTTTTTTTTTTTAATTTTGCAAATTTCCGTTGAATTGTGGGGGCTCCTCTATCCATCGTTAAGGCTCTATGCTCTGAATCTTTGAAGTAGTAAGGGGCTATGGCTAGGGTTGGGTCACTGGGTGGATTACGGTGGGTTTTCTTGGTCGAGAATTGGGATGTGGGGTGGGTTGAACTGCAAAGTAAATCATCGAATCATGGGGTTGTAAGGAAGGTTGAGAGGCTTTTGACGAGTTGCTTTAGGGGAGAGGACCTAGGGTGGGGTTTTGGGCCTTTTGGAGTTGAGTTTGAGAGTTGATAGAGGAGAATGAGTAAAGAGAATTGAGAAGGGAGAGGTTGAGATGAGAGTTTGAGAAATTGAGAATGAGACTCAGAGGTGAAAAGCAAAAGGAAAATAAAGATATATGAGAGTTGAGAGACAAGGGAGGGATTAGAGGCTGAAGGCATATGGGAGTGATTGAGAGAGGGGTTTTTTATTGTGTGATTTTTTTAATTTAGGAAAGCATTTATTAATTGTAGAAAATTTTAGAAATTTTAGTGGTCGGAAATTTTATAAGAAAGAAGTTTAAAATTGAAAAAAAGTTAATAGTTAATATGATATAGATGGAGAAATTTTAGGGAAAAATGTTTGTTGAAAATTGAAGGGTTAAATATTTTGTATAATTTTGATGAAAAATAATTAAAGTTAAATGATTATATCTTGATTTTATTATTTATTAATTTATGATTTTGTATTCGATTATGCTGCAAAATCAAATATTCAAAAAAATTCTGAATATTTTTTTCAAGTAAATAAAAGAGATGAAATATCTTAAACAACCTTAAAGATCATAAAATAAGAATTTTTATGATTATAATTATATTTACTATATTTTATAGCAAATTGCGAAAAATTAAAAAAAATTCACAACTACGATGACCATAGTGATCACAAGGCTCTTCATTATGTCCTCAACTAAGATAAACGCAACGTGATCGAAAACGTAACCGTTATTGCAATTTAAATCCCAGGTTCCAAGATACTCAGTTGATTTCTTTATTTGCCCTTTTCTTCGTTTTGCCATGAGATAGTTTATCATCATATCATTTCCTTATAATTGTTTACAACTTCCACAGCCTTCAACTTAATCGGATTTGCTTTTCGAGGCCATGTTAACATTGCTAGTAATTGAGGAAATTACAGACATTCCCATTGACTGCTGTTTTCTTTGTGCTTCTGTTTATGGAAGACTTTGGATGAAATGAAACCATAACCTCCAAATATCTTTAGTTTTACATCTTGGACCGCAGGGCCTTTTAGGGACGTGAGTGGAGGCTTACATACATGTAAACAATTTCTTTTGTTTAGGGTCAGGCTATGAGAATTCCAATATCTATTAGACTTCCTTTTAGCACTTGAAGCAATGTCAACCTCTGGTGTGAAGCTTTTGACCTTATCCTTGTGGGACTCTAGCGATTATGTCGAGTCTTTTTTTTCCTTTTTCAAGCAGTGTCAACCTTTGTTGTGAAGCTTTTGACCTTATGCCTTTGGATCTCTAGTGACTATGTTGAGTGCTTTTTTATTGCTAGAATTAATTTATTGTTGTATTTTACTACCATTTTAGACTTGTAAACAATCTGAAGTATTCCCTCGACACGCTAAAAGTAAGTTCATTACAGACCTTGACCATCAAATTAGAAGATAAACTTGTTAGTTTTCATGATTTGATTTCACCATTATTGTATTCCTTATCACTATTTCATACATTCATTGATATTATTCTAGAGTGATGTTCTTTAATAAGTGATCCTTGAAATCCCCTAATTTGGTGCCCTCTAAGCTTATATTTGCCATCTTGCTGTCTTTCTTTATGAAATCCTAAATATTGCCCTCACCCCCATTTCCAAATCCTCGTTTATTTTGCTGTAAACATTCCTTGAAATGTTTCCTTAAGCAATATACGATCCACCTTAACTCCTTCACATGCCATGTGACAGCTAAATACTTTAAATATTGTATGCTCCTCCTTTCTTGGTCCTTTTTTTAACATCCTTTTTCCAAACATTCTAGTTCTGATCTTTAATAGAGCAGTTGAAATATAGTAGGGGATTCTTCAAGGGCTATAATGATGAATTTTTTATGGAAAGAAGAGATGATCAAGAAAGGAAGAAGAAAAATGCTTTAGAAAGTTCAACTAAGATGTGACAATTGATAGATCTAGGATGATGTAAATATAACAGGGCGTCCTTACCTCAAGGGGTGTAATGTTGCATACATGTTAATAGGGAGAAGACATGGCCAAGAAAGGAAAAACTGAAGCTCTTTAGAAAGCTTTAGCATGGCATGGCAAGTGTGAGATGTAGGATGATATAACTAAATGTAATGCTCAAGGAAAGCATGGTGGGATTAATCTTTGGGGGAGAATAAAGGAGTGGTTGATATGAGAGGTATAGTGTGTTGTTAATAACAATAAGGCAGATTGTTGAAGTTGATGTCATGATCTATGTTGCTCGAACTCGGGTACTGCTGTTGGGTGTCAGTATGTATCTAAAGTGTTTGACATGTCTACTACATGAAATTGAAGACATGGGATACAACTATAAAGTGTTCGAAACAAGGACAGAGGGGCCCTGATTCTTTGTCCAAATATAAATGTTAAGATGGTTAATATTATTATATCAGTAGTTTAAGTATCTTTTATGCAAAGAAAATGGTTACTTGTGTTTTGGTTTTGGGTCTTTAGAGGAGAAACAAAATCATAAAAGCAATCAATCTCCTTTCCAGCCTATAACAGTAGATAATTTACAGTTCTGATGTTATTGGCACAAATTATGCTTGAACAAATGAACGGAAGTGGGATTGAGGAAAATGACAAAGCGGTTGGCAGCAATAACAAGGTGAAAAGTGGGACATCACGTGACTGAATTTAAACCAATCAGTAAAGTTGTAGCAGCCCCATAAACTTCTCATATTTACCTCTTTTGGCTTTTTCTTTGTTTCTCAATATTTCTCTGTTCCTTTCTCGTACTCTGTCAGGCTTGCTTCATTCTTTCCTGATTTGGCCTCTTTTCTCACTCTTTCTTAGCTATATCCAATGTTCTGTTCTCTTTTTGTTCTTCAAGTTTCTTCTCCCCATTTCCTAATGATTATAAATCGTCTGTTTATTGTGTGGGATGGGATGAAGATTCTACAACAATTGAAAGGTAAAAAAGTGAGGAAAATGAAGAAAGAGAACTTCAGTTAGGGCAACATTTCGGTCTAATTTGGGGGATTAATATCTCCTCTGCCAATTTAGCCAAAGTGAATTTAGTCAAGGAAAAAATCATGATGGAGAAAGAGTAAAGAAGATGGTGGAAGAAGAAAGTGAAGCAAAAAAGAAACATAAAGGGAAACACAAGCCAAAACCATTTGACTAATATCTGAATATGGATTGTTGGCAAATTGACAAACCTATCTCTTCCTGAAACCCTAATGGCTTGATTCAAGTCAGCTCCTTCTATACTATCTTGAAATGACCCTAACAAGTAGATAAGATATTCCAAAATTATGCAGTAATTGTCATTTGACATTGTTGTATGTTTAAATTTCACTAATGAGTTTTTAACCAAAAAAAGTAGCACTAATGGCTTTTGTCTGTTTGTTCTTGTTTGTTTTATTTCACTCTTGTATCAACTATCAAGGTTGGGATTTTCTTTTTGAAAGACAGCTTTTTCTTTGATTTCATTTGATTTAAATATTGAATCTTCAATCCATTTGGTAGTATTAATGCTGCTGTCGCCAGTCGTCATAGAAACTTTCTATTTCTTATTTCTTACATTATATTTTGCTTTAGTATTGTTGCTTGCTTGTACTTGATTCCATTTTGTTTGAAAAAGGTTCTTTCTTTGTTTCGCATACTTGATTATCATAGGCTAATCTTGAGTAGTTTGCCTTCCCCTTGATGGTTGCATCTTTAAACATGGACTCGATTATGTTCCAAGATACTCAGTCGATTTCTTTATTGGCTCTTTTCTTCGTTGTGCCGTGAGATAGTTTATCATATCATTTGGTTATATATGTTTACAACCAAAGCCTTCAACTTAATAGTTTATCATATCATTTCCTTATATATGTTTACAACTTCCAAAGCCTTCAACTTAATCGAATTTGCTTTTTAAGACCATATTAACATCGCTAGTAACGAGGAAATTACAGACTTCTATATTGACTGCTGTTTTCTTTGTGCTTATTTCTGTTTATGGAAGACTTTGCATGAAATGAAACCATAATCTCCAAATATCTTTAGTTTTACATCTTGGACCTCAGGCCCTCTTAGGGACATGAGTGCAGGCTTGGATAAATGTAAGCAATTTCTTTTGTTTAGGGTCATGCCATGAGAATTTATTACCTATCAGAATTTCTTTTAGCATTGCTTGGAGCAATGTCAACCTCTGGTGTGAAGCTTTTAACGTTATCCTTGTGGTACTCTAGTGATTATGTTGAGTCTTTTTTTTTTTTTTCAAGCAATGTCAACCTTTGTTGTGAAGCTTTTGACCTTATGCCTTTGGATTTCTAGTGACTTTGTTGAGTTTTTTTTTATTATTAAAATTAATTTATTTTTGCATTTTATTAACATTTTAGACTTGTAAACAATCTGAAGTATTCCTCAACACCCTAAAAGCAAGTTCATTACAAACCTTGACGATCAAATTAGAAGATAACCTTGTTAGTTTTCATGATTTAATTTCACCATTATTATATTCGTTATCACTATTTCATACATTCATTGATATTATTTTAGATTGATGTCCTTTAATAAGTGATCCTTGAAAACCACTAATTTGGGGCCCTCTAAGCTTATTTTTGCCATCACACTGTCTTTATGAAGTCCTAAATATTGCCCTCACCTCCTTCTTTCTTGGTCCTCTTTTTTTGCAAACATTCTAGTTCTGATCTCTAATAGAGTGGCCAAAATATAGTAGGGGATTCTTCAAGAGCTATAATGATGAATATTTCATGGAAAGAATAGATGATCAAGAAAGGAAGAAGCAAAATGCTTTAGAAAGCTCAACTATGATGTGACAACTTAGAGATCTAGGATTATGTAAATATAATAGGGTGTCCTTACATCGAGGGTGTAATGTTGCATACATGTTATAGGGGGAAGACATGATCAAGAAAGGAAAAGCTGAAGCTTTTTAGAAAGCTCTAGTATGGCATGGCAAGTGTGAGATTTAGATGATAATTAGATGTAATGCTCAAGGAAAGCATGATGGGATTAATGTTTGTGGGAGAATAAACGAGTGGGTGATATGTGAGGAATGCGATAGACAGTGTGTTATTAATAAGAATAAGGCAGATTGTTGAAACTCTTATGTTGCTTGGATTTGAGTACTGCTGTTGGGTGTTAGTATGTATCTAAGTGTTTGACATGCCTAATACATGATTATAAATTGTATGTTTATTGTGTTGGTATGTTGGTATGTTCCTCTGTCAGGTTTGCTTCATTCTCTCTAGATTTGGCCTCTTTTTTCACTCTTTCTTAGCTATATCTAATGTTCTGTTCTCTTTTGGTTCTTCAAGCTTCTTCTTCCCATTTCCCTAATGATTATAAATTGAATGTTTATTGTGTGGGGTACGAGGAAGATTCTACAACAATTGAAAGGTAAAAGAGTGAGGAAAATAAAGAACAGAACTTTGGTTAGGGCAACATTTCGGTCTAATTTGGGGGATTATTTTCTCCCCTGCCAAGTCAGCCAAAATCTGACACCATAGCCGTGTTTGTTTGGAGTCATGATGATGTGAATGCTTCACTGAAAATCTAAGTGCAAGCAACATAGATGGTGACAAATGGCCATTTGGCTAATTTAAAGACAAAAAATAGAGTCCCATGTATCATAATTGGTATGTGCTATGTATGCCTGGTAAAAAAGGTTTTCCGGAATTCCCTTAATAATTCTTTATCCGAGTCCAAGCCAATGTTTCTGAAATGTCTTATATACCTAAGGTTAAAGAAGGATGATGCTCTAAATTTCATAATTAATTCTGTGCCTGACTATTCTACAAAATTTTTGATGTGTTAACTGGTTTGATTGGTTGAGTCACAAAAGGTGATCATGCTGGATCAGGCTATGAGAGCCCTTTATATAAATGAGATCCTTGAACATGACATTAGATCTGTAACCATGTGGGTAAAATGAATCAACAATGGATCTGTTTCTGTGCAGTACAACGGAATGTGAGAATGCATGAAAGAAATAACATGTCATAAATTGCAAGTATACATATATAATGTTCAATTATGATTATGACTGTTTGGAAAATTCAATTGACTGCACAAGAACTGAAACTCATATTTGCGCTCTGAGATATAATCTTATTGATAATCTTAATAATCAGCTTCTTAATTGGCCTGTTTGGCTTTTACAGGGTTTTGATGAGTACATGAATTTGGTTCTGGATGATGCTGAAGAAGTTAACATCAAGAAAAAGAGCAGAAAGTCATTAGGTGAATTGTCTCACTCTTATTGTTTTCTCCCTTGTTGATGCATGTCATCTTATTTATTTGTTTGTTTTCTCAGGAAGGATTCTTCTTAAGGGAGATAATATAACTCTTATGATGAATAGGTAAGCAAATTGAAATAAACTCTTTCACACATAAACTTACTTGCTCTCTCTCTCTCTCTCTCTCTCTGTTTGTGACTTGTGTTGATTTTTTTTAAATCTACAGTGGAAAGTGATGGTCATCCCGTCGGTTATGTGGACTAGCGTTATAAGTCTTTTTAATTTCATGTAGGTCAAGCCACTTGACTCAACTGTGCTATCTTTAAAGCATACCTTCACCTTTCATGTATTATAAGTCACCTTACAGAAGCTGCTTCTTATATTTCAGACAGTTACTGGTGCTTGCTTAGTTTATCCAATGATTAACATGTATGATTCTATCCATTGATCTGTAGTAATGTTTAGATTTGTGGCTAAGTCAGCTTCAGAAAATCTTTATTTACCATTTATGGCCCGCATTTTTCATGTTATGTTGATTAACCACTCATAAGTGCTGTCCACTCTTGAATATAATTTATTTCCTGCTGCATCAGTTGGTTTTATGGGAATTATTGCCTTGTTCATATCTAGAAACAAAAGATTTTTGGTGGAGTTCGCTGATTTGTGTTTCAGTCAGTATTTCATGATCTCTAATTGGTGAGGCTCCTTCCATTTTCCATGAGATGCATTACTGTACAATGTGGTGCATCAATTTAGAGGATCGGGATTGAATGTATGAAGGGCAGTCAAAAACTGTTGAGCCGAATAGGTTGTAGTTTCACCTTTTGCCAGTAACCTCTCAAATGGTTTCGGAGTACCATTAGGATCAGGAAGATCAAGTGGATCTAGCCAGCTAGTAGCACCTATTAAGCCTCCTGAGTTTTCCGTGACTTATCATTGATGGTTTGTTCTGTGTGAATTTGGTTTCCGTCAGGATTCAAGTGTTGCCTATGAAAGCAGATTGTGAGGCAAATTAAAAGATCTTATTGGTGAAATTATCCTGTTCAAAAAGTTATTGATTTATTCTTGGGGGGATCGTACAACAAAGCTTTTGCTTAAGAGTCTAGGAAGTTGTCTTGCTCCACTCTGGTCTCTCGTAGCGCCTATGGGTTGAGACATTTCCCTTGTCTCCCTCTTTACGTTAATGTTACGCAGATGCTATCAGCTGTAGTAATTTAATTTTGATGGTCTACTGAGGGAAAATGCAAAAAGATGCTTATAAAGTTAAAGCATATGCAGTGTGCAGATTTAATGGGATAGATGGGTGATGGAGTTCGGAGTTTGGACGAAGAAGCCTAGTTATGAAAGACCCTTTTAGCTATTCTATAAACCAAAGTACCACTTTTTTTTTTCCTTTTCTTTTTCTGTATACATTCTGCAAATTGAGATAAAGTCCTGGCTTTGCCATTGACATATTTTACTGTGCACCACAGCTCATGTAAGGTAATAAAAACTCGTCATCAGGGATTTACCGGTTTAGAATAGGGGGGAGAACTTTCAGTGGGTCAGTCTTTAAAATCTAAAAACTGAATTTGAAATAATCTATTGAACTAAAGTAATTAATCAAAAGAGGAATTAACTTAATTAAAGTAACTAATCAAAATAATCGAAATTACCTTAAGTCAATGGTTAAATTGGTTTGACTGGTTTTAATTATTAAAAAAATATAATTCATATTATTATGTAAAAGTTGTTCTATATATATATAAAATAAATGATATATTATATTATTTATGTGATTTGAAATTATTATATGAATTTTGTTGTACTTATATCATATATATTAAAATATATTTAAAAATAAATTAATAAAATCAATTAGTTCGGTTTTATTCTGTTATAATTTTAAAATCAATAAAAGGATGAAGTTAATTGCATAAATAATTTTTTAACTGATTAATATTGAAACCAAATAAATTCGATTTGATCTATTTTTATTGGTTAAATTGGTTCCAATCAATTAATGCACTCACTTTTATCGGTAGACGAGGTTTTTTTTTTTTTTTTTCATATTTATAATTTTTTTATAGAATTAATCTCAAAGAATAATATATCCTAATATACAATTTTCAATTTATGATATAAAAATATATGAATTTTTTATACAACCATTTTTTTTAAATAAAGAATTTTGTTAAGTAATTTTTATCCTAATAAATTAAGTCATTATCAAGATAGATCATTATTCAATCATGTGTGAATTGTTATAAAAATATTTTTGAACCTAAAATCAATTTAAATGCCAAATCTGATGTTGTTTTAAATTGAAATATATGGACAATTATTATTTATTGTATAAATTGGAAGGCAAGAAACTAAAAACAATTAAACTTGACATAAAGATCAGAGAAATTGAGAAAGGAAAGTGAAAGAAACACAGCCAAAACCGAACATGTGCCACGGAGACGTTATCAATGAAGCAGTAAAAAATACTCTCTTCGTCATATTTTCATGATTGTGGGATCCATCTGATTTATGTTTAACCAAAATCCAAACTTTCAAATTTCTCAATAAAAAAAAAAAAAAAACGATCAACTAAAAATAACTTTTTCCGTCTTACCATAATTAACCCCACCAAATAATATTACTTCCACCATTAACCCTCAAATCACGAGTAATTCCAAACCTGAGGAGACCGTAAGCAGCATAAAAAATAGTAGGCGATTACTTTAATCAAATTGTATTGATATGCGTCTCTTTAACGTGTTATCTAAAAGGAATAAATAAATAAAAGAAAAAAAAAGGCGGAAATGAAAGGTTGAAAGAAACAGTTATCCACTTTCTAAGGCTGATTGGGTGAGCTTTCTTCGTGACCGCTGCTGGATAGGAAGGTCAGGTTGTAGGGAGGAAGTGAAAAGGGAAGGAATTGCAAGGGCGCCCTAGTGGGGTTGGATTGAGTTGGAGCTGGTGGGGGCTCTGGTACTTGGGCAGCCGTGTCTCCAGGGAATCAATTTATGAGCTCAGTGTCGATGCATTAGGAAGCAAGTGCTCTCACTCATTTGATTCTCTTTTTGGTCACTGTCCTTTACTGATTACTGACTCAGCCTCCACATATATCATATCTTTGCTCTCAACCACTCTCACTACAAACAGTTTACAAGGATTAAGTGCCCGTTGTTTTTTTCCCTTGTTTTGTGCTTAGTGATTTATTCCGTCTTTTTCAGCATGTTCCCTGCTGGAAATAATTACCATGAAATGAACATTAGTGGGAGAGCCTTGAAGTTAGAGAAATGTGATAGTGGAAGGTTAGATGACTGATGGAAGAAGCTCTTGCATTGAAGTGGGTTTGAGAGAATTATTTTAGCAGATCATAAAGCATCAAGTCAATTTCTAGAAAATACCAAAAATATAAATCCCTCCAATCTCAGGTTAGATTTCGGAGTGAAATTGATGCATAGTCGCTTATGATGCTAATAAGCCAAGAAAACTTGATGTGTTAGATTGTGGTTTTGCCTTGAATGGAATCATGGTTGACTAATCCGCTTAGTACTCAAGTAAACAGCTTTAACTTTCTTTTATACGTAAGAGGCGGCAGGACAAGGGATAAGGAAAAATATTATAGTTATTGAAATTTAAATTATAACGTTATGTATATATATAAATAAAGGAAAGGAAAGGAAAAAAAATAAAGAAAGGATAGAAAAGTTTTTAAAAGGAAAAAAATGGTACATGTATTAATTGTTTGGATAGTTAAAATTAATAAAAAAAATAAAAAAATTTTAATAATCATTATTTGAATATATAACGAAAAAGAAAAAAATAATTTATTATAATATTTTTTTTTCAATTATAACTTTTTTTTATAAAATAATATATAATATATAAATATATCTTTATATTACTTATTTTGATAAACTAATATTTTTAAACAAAATTGAACATGTTTAATAAGGTAAAATGTATTAATTAGTTATTGACTTACTTTTAATTTTGTGTTTAATTCAATTTATTAATTTATTCTAATAATAATCTGACTTGTTTTATTGTTAAGACTTGAAAAATCATAAAATATTTATAAATTATGATGTTATATAAGATACTCATAAAAAGAAATTATTTTTGTAGGAAATATAAGTTATATAATCAAATCTAATGTTATAATAAAAATATGAATATAATAATCTTTTTATAAAAATAAATTTTTTTCAACTTTACTTTCCTTAGCATTTTTCCTATATTGAGGTATTAAAAAAAAGAAGATTACAAGGAATATGAAAGGATATTGAGTTTTCATCTTTTTTTTTTAAATTAAAAATTTATTCAAATAAAAGAAGAGTTTTTTTTGTTTTTATTACTTTATTTTATTTTATTTTCCTTTCTTTCACTTTCTCTCAATCCACATATAGTGTAAATTTATTTAATATCATTTAAATTTTTAATTGAAGCAATTTTCAATCTTTAATTAGCAGTGTGAGAATAGGAAAAAATATTATAAATGTGAGATTTAAATTATAAATCTACTGAATATAATCTTTTAAAGGTGAATTTTTAATTTTCAATTAGTGATTGATGAATTTTCATCCACAAATAGGAGGTTGAGTGGAAAAAGAAGTCGGTTCTTGATATTGTTTTCACGTTTGGAGCAACTCTATTAGCACTGTTTCCTCCTGTGAGGAAACATTAACATCCTTAAATGCAATTGACAAATAGACTAAAGATTCTCTCTTTGGTCTTGATTGTGCAAAGAAGGAAGTAAGGAACTGAGTAATTTATTTCAGTTTAGAAATTGAGTAATTTTCCTATTTAATTTAGATTTTTATCCCTACTATTTCTATCATCTAATATGATAAAAATTCATTGGATTATTCAAGGATGAGGCATACCAGTTTATGATAGTCAATTTATTACAAATACAATGTTTAAAGTTGAATCCATGAGATTTTATCGTCTCAGGTGAAGCAAGTAGTATTTTCCTTAAAAATGATGCTACACACTTGCAGTAGCGATAAGAGCAAGCTGCTGGAAAGGAAATATATTTTATGATGCAGTATAAGGTTTAAAACTGTTGAGGTGTTGAATCTAAGCTTAGGTCAAATGATGTTATCTTTAAGAGATGACGTTTTGAAATCTTTCGTTGATAGATCATCTGTAAGTCTAAAAATTTCGCAGATAAAAGTCATGAATCCATAAATTTCAATTAAGTTGACGTTTTATATAATTTTAAAGATGAGATAAACTCTTTTACTTTTAAACTTTTTGATAACAATAAATTTAAATTTCAACATTTATAATCATTTTCTCTATTTTCAGTTGCGGCTTCCTATGTATTAAAAGAACTGTTGAGGTGTTTTATGGCTCAAAGTTCTGATGGGAGAAAAATACGAATCCCACTGGATTTGTAATTTGTAATCATAGATGCATTTCCAATGCTCAACTCAGTCAAAGCCCAGGAGATTCAAAAGGATAAAAGGATGTGAAAGCTAAACTTTCATATCAAGCAAAGAAGATAGCTT